GAAATTCCAACCATGCTGGGTTTCTATGGCCAAAGTTAACTCCCAGATTGGTAAGACAAGAAGCCTGATTCTTCCAATAAATGGGGATTCCTGGGAAGAGCTGGAGGGATGGAGGATACCTGATAGCCTGGGACTCAGGAAGAAAGAGGTCCTGGCACATCAGACATTAAGAAAAAGCCAATGGTTAAGGGGGTATGAAGTGGCCAGACTCAGGAAAATGTTGCCGTTAAGCACAGGAAACATTTCCAACGTGATGCTCTAAGACCTTGCATTTATTCATTCCACAAATATTTCTCAAGTCCCAACTACGCACCAGGTACCGTACTAGGTACTCTGCATTCAACAAAGAACAAAATGTTATTGGTTCCTGACCTTCTGGGGCTTGCCTTTTAATTGTTGCTGCTAACAAAGACAAGAGGGCCTATAACCCAGACTTAACAGGCTGAGACCTCCGGATTCAGGACATGAGCTAGGTTGTGTCCAAGAAGAAAGACTGGGAGCAGCCCCTTGAGGCCTTGTTGGTCTCCCTGAGGTCCTTTGTGAGCCTTAATATAAAGAATGTCAAAACAGTCCAAAAGTTGACAGCTGAGGAGCTAAAACCCTCTTAGAGTCTGAACTTTCGGTTGTACAGTCTGCAAATCAAGAAACTCCGTTCACAGTCATGGATTCTCTGCTCTATCATGTCTACTGTCCACAAACAGCTGATCTTATCAGAGCAGTTGCAAGCGCCTGAGTTGCTCCACACAAGGTAGGACTGACACCAGAACCCAACATCCACATGCTGGACTGTCCGCAGCGGTGGTGTAAAAGCTCAGGACCACAAGTCAGACCACCCAGGTTCTAAATCAGCAGCTGTGGAACCTAATCAAAGTTCTCCAGGCCTCAATTTTCTCACTTCTAAAATCATAGTAGCAACTACAGTCCTTGCCCCAGAGGACTGTGAGAATCAACCGACAATAAGGCATGTCAAGTGCTTAGCCCAAAGCCTGGCCATTATAACTACCCAGTAGATAGTAGTTATGATTGCTTTTTCCCTCTAATTGGGTGTTGGGGTTTTTTTAGATCTACCCTTGCTTTTCAGATGCATGTAGAGGGGGAAAATTCACCATCTAGTCTTTAGATGGCAAAATGGCTAGACAGGATCATAACAGAAACTAAAGGAGGAATAAACATCACAGGAAGACTGTGGATTTTGAGGTCAAGAGGCAATGCACAAGGCTGCATTGCTGAGTGATCCTGGGACATCACTTCTGCACACAACAGCTAGAAGTATCTTGGGTTACTGTCTGCTGGAGAGCATGTGAGTGTTTTTGTGGTTGTCTGCCTGACAGTTGAATTCTATCAGGCAGGGGAATTATGCGAGTGTGGAAGGGGGTGTGTCTCCCCACAAGGGGTAGAATGAACTACAGCGTCCATCCTATTAGCCGACAGTTATTAAAAACACACCACCCTCAGTGTCTACAGAGGGGGTGGACGCCATATTTAGACCACAAGCAACCCCAGGACCCAACTATGGCAGCCAAACCACTGTGGAACAACAAGACTTTGAAACTTGGGTCCACTTTTCTCTGAGTGCATTGGTGTGCCAAGGATAGCAGGAGTTCAGAGGGGGAGGAAGTCAATGAACTTGTACATAATTTAAAGCATTTTTTTATATTAACCCAAGCACACAGATAGGTTATGGAACAGAATGGGGGGGAAAAATCACATGAAGTTTTAAAGCACTTCAAGGGGCACCCTCCAGCCTCACCCCCACGTTGTAGGAGAGGTTGGCTGCTGCCTCTTTAATTAGGACATCCAAGGGAAAGTTTGAAAAGCAGTAGAATGGTGGAAAGAATACAAAAGTAGACATTTCAAGATTTGAGTTTAAGCTGGAAGGCTCAGGCGCTTACTATCTTGAGCAAGTTACTTGAGTTTTCTCATAGGTAAATGGGAATGTTCCTCATGGAATCAACTTTAGACTTGATCAGGGGCTCAGAAGAAACAATGTACGGGGAAGTGCTGTACAAATACTTATTAGGATCATCAGAGAAAGGGTCTATGAAAATCAGCTGCCTTGGCATGGGTGCTGAAGGTAACCTGCTCTAGTTATGAAAGTGATTCAAAGTTGGTGGCAAGGCAGAAAAAGTAACGACCCAGCGTGTAAATGGCTGGGTACACACTCATTGCACAAGCACCTCGTAAATTAATCCTCAGCAGAAGCAACTGACCTATGAGAGCCAAGAAAGGAGAAAACACAACCCAGTCACTCCTGTCACTTTGCTACCTGTGGTTGATTGAAGATGGACAAGAAGAGAGAGCCATCTAGTAGGAAAGGAGAAGGCAAGCAAATCCAACTGCTGTGTCTCACTGCCTATGGACTGCTGTTAAGATTCCTGTGTCTGCTCTGAAGGAATCGCTGTTGGAATCTATTGAGACTCCCTCTAGAGCGTTTCAAGTCAGTCTCTTGTTTTAGGCACCTGTAATTCAGCATGCCTTTTCCAAAATGCGTTCAAAACCTGAAAATAAAATGCAGAACAAATGCAATCAAATGACATCATTGTTCTGAGTGACAACCAGGGGCACTCTGATCCCGTGACCCCATTAAATGGGGCTGCAACCTGCTATTGTCCTTTCCGTGGCAAAATTAGTAGCACCCAGCACAGAGCATTGCTTACATAGGCACGCATCAAACAAATATGTTAAGTATCTTATCTACCTATTTAATAGGTTAGAAAAATTGTCAGCTTTTTCATCAAAACTACCACCTTTTTTTTTTCTTCATTCAAACCCCTCTTGAAATTCACTTCCATTAAGGCTTTTTAATGCGTACTAGCAGCAAGGAATTTACTTAAATGAAAGAAAAAAAAGCAAAACTCCAAGCTCCCACCTGTGCAGCCATGACATGCTATTGTTTGAACCAGAGTATATTATTTAACTTGGATGACAAGCTCAGGAGGTAGGGACCCTGTCTTTCAGAATACACAGCTCTGAGCACACTGGGAATTCTTGATAAATAACAGCAGCAAGAAAGGCTGTGGAGGGACCTCTTTTAATTATTTATTTTTCCAATTCCAGATTTTTGGCAGCATGTATTTATACCTGGCTTGATTTCCAAAGGACAGCTCTCTCCCAGAAGCTCCCGTGAAGATGGATAAACAGCTCTCTGGCCGCCCCTTCCCCCTCCTCATCCCAGAGCAAGTAGAAACACCTGATCGAGCCAAAAAGGGGATTCAGAGCACACTCAGGGTGCCTGCTGGGTTTGGAAGGGAACTAAGTCCTCCAGGACCAAACGGGCAGAGAGATGCAGTCAAGGGAAATGTTTTGGCTCCGCACATCTACACAGCTGTCAGATGGCAGAGCCTGGACCTCCGCTGTTATTACCTGCTGTGGGCCTCTGAGCTCTCTTGTCATTAATCCCAGAAACCAAGTATGCCTAAAGCCCGGCACGAAGTAACATTTGGGGGTACATTCAAGTCTTTCAACAGAGGAGTAGAAGGCAATGGTTTCTGCCCAACTTGAACTCTTAGATGATAAAGATCCAATAAACACATATTAAATATTATACATGTACGGCAAGATGAAAGCATTTAGGGAGATTATTTATGCTTTAAAAAATTATACCAGTAACTAAATGAAGGCATTAGGTGTGTGTCCCAGCACACAACTAACTGATAGGCAAGGAGGGAGAAGCAAATGACCATCTAAGGAACCTTGCAAAAGACCTCGGTTTTTTTTCTCCCTGGATAACAGGGCGAATATTTGGTAGGATGTGCTTTGCAGAGAAAGGGGTGGGTGGAGGTGGGAGGGTCTTTCTGTACACATATTACCATACCTTAGAGCCAATGGTCCCCTGTATGCCTACACAACAATGTATCACTACAGCACGTTTTCCAAGTGGAGACTTCTCGCCTTCCTCTCTGATGCATTTTATACCAAAACAATGGCAACACCTGTAGCCGTTAATTTCTGCTCTTTGGTTTCTGTCCAGTTATAAAGGAGGCTCTCAGCAGGCTCCCCTCTCAGGAGCCATATGTGGAGTCGATTTGCCAGCAGCCTTGGAAGGAAAACGGCCTCTGAGAAGCGCACAATGGCTCCATAATCCCCATCCACTGGACCCTCTTGAACCGCCGCTTTATTGTCCAGTCAAAGAACCGCCACTCTGAGAGTCAAGCTGTGGCTGCCCTGGGAACCCAGGGAAGCCTGTGCTCTTGCTGGTGGGGCACAACCCAAGGGTGGTGTCTCTGAGCCCCCCAGCCGAGTGCGGCAATGTGGAGCCCAGAAACTGTGTGGCATCCCAACATCTTATCTTGCTCTCCCCTCCAGGCTGAAGCTTTTATCCACAAAGCCACCTCAACCTCCCCTGCCTCTCCCCCCCCGAGACCACAGAGCACTCCCGGAGGGGCCACAGCCCCGCCCCCTCACACCGGGTCACGCTGAGGATTCTGTTCCACCAAGCGTGAGCCCCTCTGCTAGGCTCGCTCTGACCCATGTTGAGCAGGCTAGTAACTCTTCTGACCACATTACGTGTGTTGCCGGTTTGGGGAGGGGGGGCGCAAAGGCTGGGGTGTGGCAGCGCGCCCTTTAGGTTCACAGGCTTCTCTGCCCAGGGCGCCGTATTTGGTGACCCTGTAGAGAAGGGTCAAACCCCCACGCCTGCTAAGACCATACACCTGGGGAAGCGGTTAGGGAAGGGGTGGGTGGGAGGAGGCTGCCTGCAGAGGCTCAGCCCCAAACAAGCGTCGTTTGGACAGAGAAGGATGGCACTGGGATGCAATCACTGGAGTTTTGAGCCAAACTCCTACCCTCTCCGTCTCCCTTTTTACACTCCCTTTGGGGACCTCTGGCTGTGCTTTAGGGTAGCCCGAGGTCTCGGAGACCGTAAAGCACGGCTCTTCGGCAGCCACCGGGCTGTGTGGATCCGGGACCTGGTAAATGGCAACGGGTCTCCCTCCCGCTCGGCCTCGGCGGCGGCTCCCCAACACAAGCACCCCCCGCCGCGTCCCGGGGGCAGGACTTACGCAGTTGTGCTCGGCCGTCTGGAAGTCCCAGGGGCAGCTCTTGGCGCGCTCCTGGATCTCACTCATCCTGAAGAGGCAGAGCGCCGTGGTGGCGGGGGAGCGCCTCTCCTGGCCCTCCCCGGTGGCCGCGCTGAACACGCCCGCCCAGACGCCCAGGGCCTCCACCAGGCTGGAGGAGAGGAGCAGGCGCCGGCCGTCGGGGTGCCCGTGGCCGCAGTCGAGGGCCGCCTGGCCCTGGAACTGCAGCACCTTGGCGCTCTGCGCGATGCGCACCATGCTGGGCCAGCCGGTGGCGGCGCCGCTCGTGTAGTTGTAGGGATAGTAGGGGAAGTAGACGCTGCCGTTCCAGAGAAAGGCGTCCACGAAGTGCAGGCTGCCCGCGCCCCCGCGCAGCTTGAGGCGGCCCAGCTCCTCCGTGGCCAAGCTGCGTCCCTCCGTGTCCTTGAGGGCGATGGCGGTGTCGCGGTCGGACGCCGCCGGGTTGCAGCGGCTCGCCGTCTCGGGCTCCGGCAGCACGTAGGTGGCGGCCACGGCCAGGTACCAGCGGTTCTGGTCCCCCGCGCGGTACACCACGCCGGCCGTCGAGCCCTGCGGGTGACACGACACCACCTCGGTGCCGTTGCGCAGGGAGCTGTGGCTCAGGTTGCCCAGGAGCCGCACCTCGCAGGCGCCCCGGTCGAAGGTCCAGCCGGTGAGCAGCAGCCCCTGGAGGTCGCCCGCCCCCTCGCTGTAGGGCAGCAGCAGCTTGCTGAAGCTGCTCCCCGGCCGGGGCCGCGCGGGGGGCGCCAGCGAGACGGGCTCCGTGCAGTTGCCCGCTTGGTCCCGGTACAGGCGCGAGAGCCTGTGCTCCAGGCTGTAGTCCAGCTGGTCCAGGCAGCTGCCGCTCGCCACGAACACGCCGTCCTCCCGGCTCGCCGCGATGGCTCCGATGGCTTGCTCCGACCGCCACACGGGCTCGTCCGCGCCCCGGCTTGGCGCCGCCAGCGCCAGCAGATAGGCGAGCAGGGGCAGCGGCGCGGCGGGGCGCGGGGGGCGCGGCGGTGCCTTCCTCCGGGAGACCTCCATGGGGCTGGGGGGGCCGCCCCCAGGCAGGGCGCGCGGCGGCGACGGCGGCTCAGGCGCGCGGCGACGGAGACGCGGGCGGCGGCGGCGGCGGCTCCTGCGCGCGCTCGGGCTCCCGCGGCCGCCCCATCCCCGCGGCTCGCCCGGGAAGGAGAGCGGGGAGGGCGGCACGCGGCGGGGTCGCTCCGGCAGCCTGTGCGGCGGCTGTGGCGGCGGCGGCAAGCCCTGCGCGCTCCGGCGCCGCTTCCTCCTCGCCCTGCTTCTCCGGAGAGTTCCTCTGTGCAGCGCTGGCGCTCGCGGGGAGGCGCGGAGGGTGAGGGAGGGGACGCGCGGAGGGGAGCGCGGCAGGCGGGGAGGGCTGGAGAGGTTGGGTGCGCTTGTGCGTTTCACTTTCCCATTGTGAAAGTGGGATGCAACTGGCCCCTTCCTCATCCTCTTCCTCCTCCGCCCTCCGCCTCCTGCCCGCCCGCCCGCCCGCCCTCCACGCCCATCTCCCCTCCCCTCTTGATTCGGCGAGATAGGGAGGAGGAAGGTCTCGTAATTTGGGTTACTGTGTAGGTGGCCTCTTTCATCTATTCATAACAAAGCTGAGCCGCCTGCTGTTGCCGCCGCGGCCGCCACCATCGCCCCTTGGTTCTCCCCGGGCTCCCGGGGCGCGCTAGCAGTACGCCGAGCGGGCTCCCGCGCCCGTCTGCCCGCGGGGCCGCTCCAACGCTCGGGTTTTGTTTATGAGAGCAGCCGGGGGGTGCGCCAGGCACGGGGGAGCGAGGACCCAGGGCGCCGAGGGTTTGCAGCTGAGGCCCAGGGCTCAGGCCAGAGGGAGGCTGCAGGGCGGCTGACAGGTGTGGAGCGGCGGGAGGGAGGCCCTGGGGAGGCGCGCGGGAGACGTGGACGAGCCGGAGGCTCGGGGGACCGAGGCGTCCCTGCCACAGGGCCTGAGTTTCCCCGGGTCAGAGGAGTGAGGTGGGGGAAAGACAGGCGCCGAGACTCCGGTTCTGGACAATCCCCGGGGCCAGAGCTCCCATATTTGAAAAGGTTCTCTAATCTCCCTTGGCAACGGAGTCCCAGGCTCCCAGACCTGGAGCTTAGAAAGTTCTACTCACCATCTAGCCTTAATGATCCTGGCTAACATTTATTGAGCATTTACTACGTGCCGGGTACTGTTCCAAATTTGCCCCGTGGATTAAGACTCATTTAATACCCTAATAACGCTTTTAATTAGTGACTGTTATTATCATCATCCCCATTTAGTAGTGAGAATGATCATGGTGAGGTTATGGAACTCACCGGGGTCCTACTGCTGGTTAACAGTAGAGGTGAGATTCCAATCCGTATCTAGCTGCCGGGCCGCTTACACATCCCGCTCTAGCCAGGTGCCACCTGTGGCCGATCGGATAAGGCTGCGAGATGATTTTCAGCAGGTGGGACTGCGAAGTTCCCCAAGTTAAATGCTCCCCAGCCCAGCCTTCTAATTTTAGAGCCAGGTACCCTTCATTCCCTAGAGTCTCTCCCTCTGTCTCATCCTTTCCTACTTCTTTTCTTTGGACCCTCTGAGGTCTCACCAACTCACCCAGGGGTGCCCCAAAGCCACCAAGAATTTCTGGAGCACAATGAATTTCCGAATTACCGCACACCTGGGTGTAGGTTCATGATTTCTCAGAGGATGCACAAATGCCTCCCAGCTTCCTGAGGCACCTGATGGCACCACCAGCACACTTCGAGTCTGGCAGATGACCCAGGGGATATGCCAGGGGCGCTCCTGAGGACCCCGATGCATCCTTGCAAAAAGATCTCTGTCCCTTCCCTGGCTACTTCCAGGCCACAGGGGGCCCAGGGAGAGTAGCTGGTTGCATCGCCTTTATTCCTTCCCCTCTTGGCTCCCCAAGTCTAGATGGACTCTATTTGCAGTGGGGAATGGGGCGAGTAGGCTTCCTCCAGATGCTGAACCCTCTTGAAGGAGCTGCTGCTGTAGGTTTCCAGCTTCTGCGATTGCGCTTCAGGTTCTCCCCAGTGCTGGCGGATGAGGCAGGAGAAGGAGCTCGGGGAGGCTGAAGGAAGAGAGGGTGGGGTGAGGCAGGAAGCAGAAGAGAAACAAAACTTTCTGGCCTTGCTGTGCAGTTAAAGGATCCTATCATCCCAGCGGTGGCTTTCATATTCTGAATTCAGAGTGGTCGTTGTCCCATTCATAATTTCCTTGTCTGAAATTGGATGACATTATCTCTGCCTGCCAGTGGGCTGGAAATACTTTCCCATGAGCTGTGCGGAGGTGGTGGTGGCAGCCGGGGTGCTGGGGAGAGTGAAGGAGTGAGGGAAAAGGCCTGGGACCCCAGGCTGACATTAGTCAGGAGACTGTCCCTAAGGCACATCAGATGCACACATCAGATGCTCTCTCTGCTCCGAGATAATCAGGCCTCATTCCCCCCTTCCCTGCCCACCTGAAATGTTTTAAGAACTTCCGCCCTGCTGGAAATGGGAAAAGTAGTACCTGCGAAACATCTGCAGAAACTCACCGAAGCCCTCACAGCCTAGGAGGGGATTTCCGCTGTGGACATGTTGGCAATTTTCCCTGTGAATGATGAAGAACACAAGGGTCTTCGCCGCCGCCGTGAACCTGCCGTGACAGGGCTGTTATGTGCTGAGAAGCAACAGTCCAATTCCATTCTGGAGATAGTTTTACTTCACTGGTAACCACATAATTTCTCTAAGTCCTGCGGAGCTGCGACAACGAATAGCAGACCATCTTGGGAGCTATTTGGATTAAACACACTCTATGGTGCAGCATTTTGATCACTACTCAATTCATTGCCGCCTCATTCTGAGACAGAAACATCTTAAAAATACCACCAGCAAGAAGTATAAACGGCTCTGATGGCTACAGTTTCTCACCATTCTAGAATCTAGGACCGCAAGCCCCACTCTTGAAAGCACGCTTCTTTTTCTTCCCATGTAATTGTCTGCAGGCGCCTATGGTGAAGGAAATCAGAAGCTGTGCCTGCTTTTTGGCACGAAAAATGCAGGAGACTAGGAAGCGTATAAATGTATTCTGTGCTGAGTCTACCCCATTTTGTACAAACATGTTTGCCCCTTTCCAATTTTCCTGTGTACTAAAGCTCCACCTTCAGGACACAAGTTCACATTTGAAAAGTGTGGGAAATATGAACAACAGAAATCAATATTTGGGCATGTGGATTCTGTCTCGGCTCGCTTTCTCCCGGACGCTGGTGTCTAGCCAGGGGTGCGAGTCCCATTGGTGACACAGCTTCCTTCTCGCACTGATGGAGCCCATTCTGGTGGGTGTCACTCACTGCACATTCGGAACTCCTTGTCACACAACTGGCTGAAACCCAAAGAAAAAGAAGATGGTGCAGATTTATTCTCCAGACAGAGGCCTGCTACCACGGAAACAGGCAGTTCAGACTGATTCCGAGCAGTTTTATTTGTAGCATTCACTAGATGGGCAAGTCTTCATAATGAGAAAATATCAACTCCCTCAGGCATCTAAGGCAATCTGGGTTAACCAGACCATCCACAATCAGACTCGTTTCTGCCGGACAGGACTTTATAGATTCAGTGGTTTCCTGCTGAGGCTCAGGACATTAAGGACTGTTCAGTAGGCAATTGGTCACAGTCACAAGATAGCTATCATTGGTGTTTTCAGTTTTCTTTCTGACTTAAAAAAAACAAATCTGACAGTGATCTGTAGGATGACTGGGCTGGTAGAGATAGAAAGCAACGGAGATATTGGTTCTGATGGTCAGCGAATTCTCTGCCTTTTTCTAAGGAATTACAACCCCTTAGGCAGCATTTGGGAAATGCCAGTGGGTCGAATAGTACCAGCGTTGTCCTCCTAAGACTTAAGACAGGACACTTCCTTCTTCACAGCTTGGCTCAAGTCTATGTGGTCTTCCACATCCAGGCCCTTATCAAAGCTCCCAACCCCTTTTGGTGACTGACAGGAAAAAGAAATGAGCCAGCCTCCTTTCTAGTCTGCTGATGAGTAGATGGTTGAAAGCAGATAAGATGAAGAGCCATTTAATAAGTTTGAATTGATGCTGAGAGGCGAGTTGAATGCAATTCAATCAACATGAAAAGTCAGTCAAATGCCGCACAGTTAAGATGTGGCTGAAGGAACACAATGCTTCATCTTCTTGCCCGCCCAACATGGCCCCAGACAGTTGTTGAGCATTTTTATGCTTGGCGATACTGCCCCATGCCTTTGGTTAAAGTGATGAAGGCCCCGTGGTGTTCCTTCGGTAGGGAGGCATCACTGTTGTCCTCTTTCCTGGGTCATGGCTTACTAGCTCATGGTCATTCACCAGCAGAGTTACAGTTGTAGATGGGAGAATGAGTTGGAGGTACAAATAAACAATTTTTGACTCAAGGTCCAAACACTTCCTTTAAACTAAATAAGAGCCTTCAGTCAGCTTTAGGGACCAATGAGTTATTTCCTATAGTGGGGATGTCAACTGTCGGTTGTTTTTAAGAGACTGGTGTCTAGGACATCATCCTGGCCCCTAGTACCTCCCTTCTCAGGTAGTACACTCGGTGTCATGAAGTTTCTCTTGAGCCCTTTCTCCAAAACATTCACCAAAACCATCAGTGGTTAAGAGTCTGAGACCCTTGCTGGTTGAGAGCAAAATAGGGTAAATCATCACAGTGTTTTCCCAGACCAGCTGGAGTTCACCTTGCATGAAGTACACAAAATCATTGGTTAATTATTTCTTCCAATTTGGGGAATCTCTGCAATTTGCTGAGCAGTCTCTTGGTCACCAGCTTTTGTCTGATTTTTACAAGATTCAAGTCTGCCCCTGCTCATACTTTCCTTGCTATTCTTTTGAAATATGGAGCCAAAAGGGTATCAAGGACTAGACACAAAATGCTGATCCCCCTTTAATATGGTGTGTTTTCCTGCATCTCTGTTCTGCCGTCACAGCTCCAAGGCTCCCTGCCAGTATAATCCTAGGCCCCGAATCCTTTGATAACTGGCAGCGTGGCATAAACCCATTCAAAGAGAAGAGCTGCCAGAAACCAGGCCCTCATATTAATAATAACTCAAACTCTTGAAATGAATAACAGAAGATAAGATAAACACAC